CTTCTTATGATGCACTACTCATAAGGTTACTGAAATGTCCTCAACAGCCCACGACCGGTTTCGCCTTCCTTGGGGCTGGTAGGCGCAGTCCGCGAGTTTCTGTTAACCTTATGTTCTACTTGAAAACAAATCGCACGAAATTAGCGAATATACACTCATTTGCAAACTAATTTGGTTTTATTCGTGACACTCACCTGAAACCTAACTGAATATCTCGGTTTTGATGTTTCCGAGGGCTGCGCCTACCTGGTGAACCCCAAAGAGGACGAAACCGGTCGTGGGCTGTCGAGGAGTTTTCAGCAACCTTATGAGTAGTGCATTACGAAATATATATGTATCGCGATATCTCGAATATCGTAGCGACTGAAACATGAGGCGGCCTGGTGCAGCACATTCGGTTGCCTGGAAACACCAAAACCGAGAGATTCAGCTGGGTTCCAGATGAGTCTCTCGAAAAACTAAATTAGTTTGCAAATGAGTGTATATTCCTTCCAGTATAGTTCTGCCTATGATGGCCGCTGGAAATACACTGGAACAATCTAGCTCATCCGGTTTTACTTTATTGCCATGTGTTGGTTTCTGGGCATCCCGACACCCAGTACTCTCATGGCAATGTGTGCCACGCTCGGAATAGAAACGCTTGGATCTCATTCCGGTCGCTTGTTGTACACAATATGAACCAATCAGTGAGCTATGCGTAACAACAACACGAGTGTCTTCGAGAAATACACTCATTTGCAAATCAGTTTGGTTTTCACGGGAGACTCAATCGAATCTCTCGTTTATGATGTCCTCCAGCTGAACGTACACGGGCCGCCTCATGATTCAGTTGGCACGATATTCGAGATATTGTAGTATATTTTCATAAAGGAAACTACTCACAGGGTTGTTGAAAACTCTTCGACAGCAACCTCGTGAGTAGCTCCCTTTATTAAAACAACACGATTGGTTTTCCTGTATCTGAAGCGATTACCTCCTGCTCTCCTTGAAGCTAAAATGCTTCCGAGCGGGTCTGAAAGAACCTAGTTTCACGAGTTCTCCAGAAAGCGAGTAACCGCGGGTCTTCAACTAGTCTCAACGTCGGTCACACAAAGTTTTGCGCGGCACCTCTTTTTCAACGTATTCATGATCTGAAGCAGTTATCTGACGAGTCTCACCACAATTTGGGTTCATCTACTGAAGACAGTTGATCAGTGGTAACCTTGTACACTGGTCCATTCTACCCAGGACTTCTCAAATTGGTTGAACGCTAGCAGTGAATTGCAGGTCGCTTGAAGATTGGAAAATGTGTATGGATCATCCAAAAATAACCTGGTCCGTCGGTTATCTAGGCAACAGATTGATACAGTGGAACAGAGCATCATATGGACACTCCGTGTTAAAAACTATTGGACAAAAGGGAATTCCAAAACGCAACCAGCAGGACAGCATAAGGACACAATTGCCAACAGATTCTCCAAGCCTAGGTAGGAGTTATCGAGAGCATCACGACGATGAGTTTAATTTAGGGTCACCCGATCAGGAAGTCGAGCCCTAACATCTGAACTACATCGTTCAACTATAACACCCTGTCTGTGCCTAGCTACTACGCAACCCGAAGGAGGCATGTGGGGTGGGATACTGCCAGCTTACCCAAGCCTAGACGCGAACGGTCAAGCTATCGGGCTATANTATATATATATATATATATATATACATCAGGGAGATTGGCTGGTACTTGTCACCGCAACCCATCCCAACAACTGGGCTTTGATGAGAAAGTTGTAAACCAGCTTGGCGTGTCCAACATTCATTTTGGTTGTGAACTCTTGAACTGACCAAACGAGGGTGGCAGGAGTGCGAATGCTACGAATCCCGCAACTACCTAGAAAGCTTCAAGCATTCGTGCCGCTACCTGAACTGGAAATCCTGAAAGGTGGGGCAATCGAGTGAAACAACCAGGACAAGTCGTCGCTCAAGGAGTCCGGAAAACAGTTCACATTGCTCGAGTGTGAACTTTGTCGCCTGTTCAGACGTAATAATTCACGCTGGTGGAGTAGCGGAGTTTTAGACCCGGCGGGGCCAAGGACACTCACTGCTGGTGAGCTCCAATAAGAGCGGAACTCGAGCACATGGTCTTGGTGTGGACACACCAGAATCGAAAAAATATCTCAGCTGTAGCACCCTTTCGGTGCTTAGCTACCATGCCAACAGAAGACACCGCGAAATCTGGGACATTGTCAGGTTGCTCAAGCCTAGACAGGAGCAGTCAAAATGATGAGGTTGGGTTCGAACCACGGATCTTCCGGTCCGTAAGCTGACGCCCTGACCACCGAGCTACCTTACCAGAATGCTTGCAGAAGGAAAGCTGTTCAAACAAACGAGTGATGTGGACACGAGTTGGTCTGGAGCACTACGGAACAACTGTTGATACGAATACACACCACCCACCCCCCTGAGATTTGGACTCACCCTAGGCAGTCGAGTAGAAGGTTTGCTTTTTGTCGTTCCCATGTGTATTTGCATAGCATAGAAATAGGAGTTCCAATGACCTGAACGCATCAGTGGAGAGAAAGTTGTAGTGTAGGGTCATGACTGTGGGAGTAGAAGACAGTGTGGGGTTGTGGTGATGAGGATTAGTATTAGTATTATTATCATTATTATTATAGAACTCGTCGTAATAATGGTTGGTATTTTAGTGTAATAGAGATATCAGTTGTAGTAAGAATACTAGTAATAGTTGTGATGAGAATAGTAATGGTAAGAATAATAATAGGAATATCGGTAGTATCAATAATAATAACCGTAGTAATAGCAGTATTGGTAGTCGGATCAGCATTGTTCGTATTTTTGAGGGTGGGGCGGGAACGGCGGAGGGGGTTGATGTCCGTGGGAAACCGTAAGATAGCATTTCAGATAAAAGAAAGAAGGAAAGACCCTCGTTTGAAAAACAACGAGAGAGGTAGAGACTGGAGGTGATGTTCGCTCTGTGATGAGGAAAGAAAAATAGCAACATCACGGCAATCCACATACTTCACCATATGAGAAGTTTTGCGGCCAGAGGGGGGATTGGAAGTACAAGGCGGGAAATACTTCATTCTGCCAAGTTATCGGTCCACCCATTTGATACCAGTACACACATCACAAGTTGTAGCCCCACCTCGCGTTCGGTAAGGTGAAGATAGAACCAGTAAATGCAGCCTGGGAGAAAGGGTGGGTAGTTGAGTGGATGGGAAGTGTTCAAAACAGGCGGTTCATTATAAAAATAGTAGTTGTTATAGTTTTATACTTCATATCGTGTGTGTGTGTGTGTGTGTGCGAAAAGACTGTGTAGATCGTGAAGATAGAACCAGTAAATGCAGCCTGGGAGAAAGGGTGGGTAGTTGAGTGGATGGGAAGTGTTCAAAACAGGCGGTTCATTATAAAAATAGTAGTTGTTATAGTTTTATACTTCATATCGTGTGTGTGTGTGTGTGTGTGCGAAAAGACGTGTGTAGATCTAGTAAACACCAGAGCTGACGATGGTCTCACAGTGGAGTGGACCAACAGGAAAATGGAACGCGGAATGTCATCGAACGCGCTGTAACATCTCGGGCCGGGATCAAAGCACGACATACTGGGAAAGGCCGAAATTCACCTGGCCAAATACGCGGAACTGGAAAGATCGAGGAAGGTGGAAGTAAAACGGGGTGGCAGGAATGAAGTCGGGAGGCTAAAAAGGACGGAAGCAAATTATAGAAAACCATTGGAATTGCATTGCCCAGGAACCGGTACCAACACTGCTTTTTTGTGTTTGTTTGTTTGTTTGTACGCGCGTGTATAAACCGAACAAAATCAGGATATGTGCATGGAAAAGGGAGCGATTGCCCGGTTGATTAAACGTCGAATGGTACTCATAAAATAATGGAAAATAGTCGTGGTTCATAGTTATTCAAGTACCTGCCATTCTATAGAAAGAGATGTGCTGTCGGGCATCGGGAAGAATGAAATGTGAGAGTGAAACCACAAGGAACTGACTGAGCCTATCAATCATCAGACGAGCGACCGTAAATAAACATAAAGAGAAGAAAATGCTTCGTCGGGCACTCATACACACACAAAATGCTGCATACAATAACCGGGTTGCGTCATCGTCGGCAGGCTAAAGGAAAACAAAAGCCGTCTACCTGTGTGAGGGAGAAAATGCCAGCCACGACCGTCTAGAACGAGGTTAGGGGGCGGGGGTGAAAAGTAGTTGTCTATTTTATAAAAAAAATAAAAGGACTGACAAACAGAAAAGATCGAATGAAAGTAGTTGTAGTGGTGGTGGCAACCCCCCCCAGCGAAAAAAAATT